TCATGCAGTCTTAATTACATTTAATGTAGGGCATTCATTTGAAGTCAGTCTGATATTTTGCTCATTGCTAAAGTTAGTTTATGTTCTACTAGCTGTTTAGATTTTGCATGTACAAAACAATCTGTGCCATCAGCATACACCTGTATCCATATGACACTGCTGCTTTTTCAAGAACAGTAACAGTTGATTAGTTGTGACCTCACCTTTCTAAACCCGTGTTAACTGATTATCTAGTTTAGTTACCATAACTGTAATAGAAGTCAGACTTATTGATATAACTTTGAGTCAAGAAGGCCACCTGATTGATCGATCAATATATCAATTATTCATTTGCTGTATCACATTTTGCAATACTTTTCCTTAGAATGCTTAGAACAGCAGCTGAGTGGTGTCATGGAGGAGAGGAAAACAAATACTAATACTCGAGAGCTGCAGCAGAATTAGATCCTGCTGGCCTATTGGGTCTTTAGCGCTCAAGAGTGTGTGGAATTCGTGAGGTTGAAGAGAAATCACCTGCTCCCATGGAGGCAGTTCACAAAGCCACTTCATCACATCCCTTTATTGACTTATTCAATTGCTTTCTACCTGGGATCTACTGTACAGTAAGTCTATATCTTGTATTAGCGCAAGTACACATTTTCTGTACACAACTGATAATTAAAGCAAATTAAATAAAAAATCAAATCACATTAAATCATTAATAATTTACAACCCGACTAATGTTTCAATATGCAAATTTCAAGATACAGTATATCCTAAAAATATTTTGTCAAAATAATTATTTTAAAGAAAAAACAGAATTCTTGGTCGATTTCATGCTTCAACATTACATTATGTTTTCACTTTAAACCCTGCTGCAGCAACCATATAATCAATATTATAGGTTAAAATCACGTGTGCATGAGTTTCAGAAGAAAGCGTCTGATTCTAGGATCATCAATAGTCAAGTCTGATATGTACCAGATTTGATAAGCCAACATAACTTTATAACATAACTTTAGTTTTGTTATTGTTCAGATGTTCATTTTTATGTATCATTTTTTAACATCTAAACACTATCCAACAAGGAAGTATTGCACCTAGAAGAGAGCCTTGTAGGAAGACAGATGTGACTAACATTGTAGATGAGGAACAAAAAAGTATTTGAACAAATTGTATTCTTACAATAAGATTTTCAACCACAAAGTGGCAGTTACCAAAACCCTCCCTAATCTAGTTAACAAGATGCAATGATTAGTAGTATGAAGTCAAGAATAAAGACATAACCAGGATAACAAATCTCTTTATGTGACAATTCAATCCCAAAATGACTTCTTGTACAGATATTTGCCATCAAAATTTAAACACTGTCATTCTCTTAAATAAAATGTAATATTTGTAATGGAAGATGGAAATGAACATACAGTATTACAAAATGACATAAGAAATGTGTTCTCAAAGTCTTTTTCCGTCTCTCAACAGTGACTTTTTAGTTCTGATACTGTACATTTTGAAAGTTTCTACTTTTGACTGTGTGTGAGAGATTTGCTGGCTGCCATGGAAATCATATGGTCTTAGTAACCAGACACTACTCTCTTTCCTGCTCCATCAGCTGGTTCCATCAGCTGCTTCCCATGATCACCAGGTGCAGGCAGCCGCCAGCTTGTAATCAGACTGCTCTGAATGCCATTATTAAATACTTCCCTGGAAAACTGCCTCAATTTGTAATCTTTCATCTTCTCCATAACCTGTTCATAATGGTTTTTTTTTTCCATGCCCCAGGGCTTCTAACAGAAAGAGACGACAAACATGAAAAAAACCACTGACAGCTAAATTGCTTAATGGTAATAAGCAAGACAGATTCTCAGCTTTTGTTTATCTGTGTATTGTGCAAGTCTTACTACGTAGCCACTGGCAAACATGGAAAATTTTGTATTACAACTGAATATGCAGGAACTCCCTACATCAAGTACAGTACATAAACCAAAATAAAATCTATTCAACACAAGTACTGTATACTGTACTTTAAAGCACCTAGGCTTAGTGCTGTAGCCATATTGTAGTTTGCAACACTGTTGCAAGATGCTTATAAAACAGAGCACAGTAACACTTTTCACAAATTTTGATTCTAGTGATCTAGAATTTATCAAAAATATCAACCTTTAATACTTCGGAGTGGAAGTGGCTTTTAAATAGGTCAGTTCAAATTGATCCCTGTAGTATTCAATAAGACAGAGCTAGAGAATGACTAAGCATGACCTTATCATAAAAGATTAGTAAGGCATACCAAAGCGTGGTGAATAATATAGAAAAATAAAAGGATATATATGATATGCAAATTACTGCTTTATTTAAGTGAGAACAGTAAGAGGCTATTTGAGTAAAGCTTATCGCTAAAATGAAGGCTGCAATATCTACAGTATGTCGAAAAAGTCATGAAAAGCTTAGCAACACTGTGAACTGTCTACAGTATATACAGGTACTAACACTTCAGTGATTACTATTACAAGACAGTGACTGCTATTAAAAGGGCATTACATAAAAATTAAAAGCCAGGCAATACTGAAATAAAGATGCGTACGTCACATAGTTTTAATTAATATTGCATATTTTTAAAATTCTGTAAGTAGCACAAGATAAAATATACTGTACTTGCAATAGTGAAAGCAGAACTAAGCAAATCAAAGTCATTGCTTTAGAGATGCTATGGATTGTGAATTCCTACCATGAGCTGCTTCTGGATTGATGGGTTACACCCAGACAGGTAATATAATTTGAGAATGTGTGGTTAAGCACAGAGACAAACATATGGTTTACAGGTGTAACATCTCTGGAAAACAATACTGTATATCCTTGCCTTCAAGATAAAAAGACTTACCAAATGATCATGAAATCCTGCAGAGTGGATTTTGCTGAGTGAGCCAGGAAGGACAGAGGTCAGCTGGGCAATTACTGGGTACCTGTTCAGTAAGGATCAATGCACAGCTGTGAGATCAGTCTACCAGTTCACTTTCCTCACTTAAGGTGCAGACAATTCAAGACCCATTTGACACTTTCCACTGGTCTACTGCAAAAATAATAATAAAAACTTATTTAGTTGTTATTCATAAAATAAGTTTCTAGGTAAAAATGTAGTCAGCCCATTCTGGGGTCTTCATGAGCTCCCCAAAGACATTCTGAAGATAAAATGCACTGCTTATTTTCAGTACGTTCTCTTCAAATTCTTGTATCCTCATACTACTTTAATAGTATTTTGTATTTTCAGGGTTTATTCCTCATCATGTGACCCCCCTTTAAATTTACAGTTATCAAATTCGGATTCTCAGATAAAAGCTCAAAAACCCTACAGAGTTTACAGGTGATCCTGATTGTAAATTCTAATGGCTGCATTTTAGTTATACAGTGTACTAAGTGTTATATTTATAGTGATATAATTATTGTCATCAATTCTTGAGTGTAATGTACGACAGTGTACTTTTTAGTAAAACAGACATAATGACCTCAATGATGTACACAATAATTGCAGATATGATATTTCAGATATTTTAGCTTGGTGTGGAATAGTGATGAGGGTTCTGTACCCGGAATATGGTGGGTTCAGATTCTGAATGGATAGTACTTTAGAGTAGACTTCCATTTTAGCAGTATATTCCAGCTGAATGAAGGGATCCAAATATAAAGTGGTTAGGATAAACCTTGTTAATACATTTTCTGTTTGTTTTTTTATGTTAAATAGTCATGATTATATTTATACATGCTGTCAATTGATTTTTAAAATTATTCAGATATTATGGAAACGTCAACTTACTGTAACTGTTCTCATACTTTGAGCCTGTTCCCTACATAGCTTTTAACACTCTTGATAAATAGATTCCAAGCGGAAAAAACAAGTTTTCTGAATGCCTGCATTAGTTCCTAGCACTAAATCCATCCATTTTTACAGCCACTAATGTGAAATAAATTCTGCTTTTAACAGTGCACATGTGGTATACTTATTGATCTTACAGTAGATGCTATACTAAATCTAAGCATGGAGACTTATTCTCACTTATGAAGTATCATCACTCCAATTCATTCACATCATTAGTTATCAGATTCTGTTAATTCAGAACCTATATACCCTGGATGAACAGAAGAAATAGCACTTGTTATATTTTTTCAGTAACCCAAACCAACTGAGATTTACCAAGAATGTGGAGGAGATACAGCAGAAAACGTGCATCCCGCTCAGCCAGAAAATTCAGCATTTTTAGGCAAAGTCATAAAATTGTTAATAACTTTCCATGACTTTCACAAACGGGTTTTCGACACAAAACTGCAGCCCAGGTAAACATCCTAGAATGATCCTCGGTATGAGGATTAGCAT